AGTTGTTATGGAGGTACATTGATCATCTCATCATCATGTTGAACTTATAAACACCTCAGGAACTGTGGACACTTGTGTAGAAGACAGCGCTGACATGTTCTGGGGCCGTATTCACAAAGAATTTTATCTTGCCACTAGAGGAGCACTCCTAAATCGCACTAAAATATTTTAGCTAGGAGTTTTCTCTTAAAAGTTAATCAAAACGCCTTTCAGACCTACTCTTAGTGAGGGAAAATGACAACTCCTAAACTAAGAGTGAGTCTTTGTTGCTATGGATGGCGTCAATTCTCATGCACAAGTTTTCTTGCAATGATCACGGTGATTGGTGGTTAGATGACAGGGCCATCATGCGGAACATAAAACAGACGCAACAAATCATGGAATTATTATGGAATTATTAATCTAATTATGTCAGTTATAGGTATGTCCCCAAATGAGTTTTTGTCTTATATTTGCTGACGCGTCAATGCACGCTTTGGCTAGGTGGTGTTTATAGCGTAGGGGGCGGAGCTTTAGATTCTAGAGAGCATTTGATTGGACACAATATGTGATGAGAAGCTGAAGTCTGCAGTGATGTCGTAAAAATTCCTGATCCATTTTAGCAGAAGTGAGAGACTAAGTTTTGAATGCTTTTAGACATCATAAAGATCGTGCCGGGATCATGTTTGTGACAGAGATATTAACGTGTCTCTAATAAGATCAGACACAGCACAATGCCATAACGCCAGAAATGAAAGTAATCACTACATTAATATATTTGGCAAATGGTAAAGTGCAATAAAGCAGCAGTGATTTGGCTCTGTCACAACCTTCTGTAAGCAGTGATCACACAAACATTACAGCACTTTCAGAACCTCTTATTGTGTCACAGTTCATTTAGTTTCCACTGGACATTCCCACCTTGCAGGCTCAAAAAACTGCAGTTATGAATGTAGCAGGCTTCCCTGGTGCGCACAAGCAGGGGGAATGATCGGTTAATAATGTGCGCTATAAGCTCCCACGTCCGCTTCTTGCCCGGTGCTGTGACACCCGGGCCGAATTTTCCTTTATGGCCTAGTGTTCATCCACTAACTGGGCTAACAGTAAACACGGTTCTTCTGTCCAGTCGGGCTTTCTCGTCTTTCTTGTTTTCTATATTAAAACCAACATTCAGACCAAATAGACAGCAATCAGTGTAATTTGAATTTTTTTTATCATTCTAAGCTAATCAAATACTTTATAGGAAATTTAAGAGCAAGGTAAAAAAAAAAAAGGATTTGTGTACATAAATATAATGTGTGTGTGTGTAAACTCTATACTTCAAATAACTTTTTCATTTTACCTTCTTGGACAACCAACCAATCACAGTCTTCAAAAGATTGTCACGCATAGCAACGGGGTCAGCCCCGCCTCTTCACTAGTTTTCATCTTTTCCTTACTCAGAGTTGCTCTCAGATCGGTCCCGAATCGGTCTTAAGCTAAGACTCCTATGTAAAAGGCCCAGTTATGTAAATAAAGGTCTCCTTTAATTCAAGAAACTGTATCCCTAATAAATATATACAGTTTGCTTGCTTTATTCATATTTCAGAAATGCTGAAATAATTACATTTCTTTTAGTTTTGCATTTGTCTCAAAAGAGAATTGAGTTTGTTTCATAATGTATAGTTTTCCAGTATGGAAGCTTGTTTTCACCATGGAATAAAAAAGAAGATTTTTTTCCCCTTCCTAATTTTGAGATTTAATCTTGCAATTCTAAGAAAGTCAGATTTGATTAATAGGTTGCAGTTGTGGAAGAGCGAGCTGGGGATGGAGAGAGACATGATGGAGATGGATGCGTGTTAACACCAGAACACCAAGAATCCTCAGCAGAGAACCTAAATGAGAGGTGAGTAATGGCTGCTAATTTACAGAGAGAGGAGGAAAAAAAACTATTGGTGATTTATGCTAAAATATATAAACAATTAATACTCCGCAACAGCGATGAAAATGATGATGAGTCCTTTGAAGTCCCGATGAAGAAAGGCCATGCAAAAACATCTGCTGATGAATGTGCTGTGTAATTTTTATTATATGTTTTGTAAAAAAAAATCAGAATGTCGTAACTGTTGTTTGTTTCCGTATCAGTGAAATACTTTCTATCTCTGTAGTTCCAATAATGGGTTAGAAGATCTTCTTGTCCCTGAAAGTCCAGAACAACCCAGCCAAACTATGGAAGTTGTAAGTAACAGTATTTATTATTGTTATTGTTTTTTTGTGTGTGTGTAACATGAGAAAATGTTGATGTATTGTCAGAAGATTTTTTTTCCCCTTCCTAATTTTGAGATTTAATCTTGCAATTCTAAGAAAGTCAGATTTGTGAGAGAAAAAGTCAGTTACCTTTTTAATTTTTTCTTTATTCTGTGGCAGAAACAAGCTTCCATACGCAAAAAAGGTTCAAAAGACTTTGTTTATTTTTTCTAATTGTTTGTCTGTGATGTATATACATTTACACACACAGAATGGATTTTGTTAATGTAACTGCATGCTTGTGTATGTTAAAGGATTAGTTCACTTCAAAATGAAAATTCTGTCATTTACTCACCCTCAAGTTGTTTCCATCTTATGAATTTCTTTCTTCTGTTGAACACAAAAGAAGATATTTTGAAGAATGTCGGTAACCAAACTGTTGATGGGCCCCATTAGGGGTGTAAGAAAAAATTGATACTCTTGAGTATCGCGATATTTTATTGTGCAATACTGTATCGATTTTCAGAAACACAATATCTTTTTTTTTTGTGGCTATGCACACAAAAGATGCGCCAGACGCACCACTAGCCTAACGTTTTGCTAGAAACAACATGGCTATGGCTGAACCCAGTGTCAAGACCCGGCTCCTGCTCTATTCTTTTCGGCATGTTAATCAATGAGTGCGTTCATTCACACCGCAAGCAGTAGCCGTGCCCGTCGAAGCTCGAGCAGGACCGTCGCGTGAGCAACAGTGAAACGGGGGTTTCGGCGGAGAGTATATAAGGGCGTCGCACACCAGACGAGAAGCTCAGCACCACATCTTTAAAATTCGAACACATTATTCTCTATGAGTGTACACCGGCGGCGCCATTCGGCGTCTGTCCGCGGCGCCCAGCAACGGCTCAGGGCCGTGTTCAAAATCCTGCTGCGCCACAGAGCGCCATTTACATAGTTTTATATAAAATTTAAATTATTTTTGGCTCAAATCGTTGCTAATGTCTCTGACTTCGCCCTATGCTGCAATATGCATTTAGTTTTGCATCCATTTACAGAAATCAGCTGCTTGAATGACAATTGCTGATGTTATTGGATTTTCAGCTAAGATTCTCAATTCATTCAGTGAACGGATGCTCTGAGGTTAAGACTGCAGACTAAACAACGATTGTATTTTATTGTACAGTACAATCATAACATAGAACAGACATTACCTTCATTTCATGTCATTAAACATAACAATATTGCTGGCCATACACTGATGAGAAAGTGCACGTCCGGTGTGGGATAGCCTACCTGGAGTTATCCTGCGTGGTGCAGCCGCTGCAGCGCTGCGCTTCTCGTCTGGTGTGCGACCTCCCCACCCCCCCTGTCTATTTTTAAGTGTATAACCAACTTCTAAAAACACATTTAACCAATGGCTTTTTGGCTCTTTTTATGGCTTTTTCTAAAATTATAGTCCTACTTAAAAAAAATAATCCCAATATATCGCCTTATGGACAGTATCGAAATATATCGCAATATATTGAATCGTGACCCATGATGCATATCGTATCGCCAAATTCTTGCCAATACACAGCCCTAGGCCCCATTGACCTCCATTGTATTTTTTTTTTTCCTATGGAAGTCCGACGTTCTTCAAAATATCTTCTTTTGTTTTCAACAGAAGAAAGAAATTCATAAGATGGAAACAACTTGAGGGTGAGTAAATGATGGCAGAATTTTCATTTTGAAGTGAACTAATCCTTTAAGTGTAAGAAGTATAATAGAATAATGTACAGTCTACAATATATACAACAATATACATTTTAATGATTGTTTTTGTTACTTTCTCAGAAAATTAATAAGTCTCTTTATTCCATGATGTCTCTTTTCTCCCATTTTTTTTTTTTTTTTTTTTACTCTGCCTTTGTGTTCCAGACTTCATGTGATGAGCATATCAGCGATGCCGATAGAATATATCGGGAATGCCAGCAGAGCGGACCACTTCGTTTTTTTGAATGTGTCCCTCCAGCTGGCATGAACCATTGTCTAAAGATTGGCGAGGGGACTTTTGCAGAGGTCTTCTCAAATAACGCCTTTTCAATATTTTCCAGGATGCCGAGTGGGTGAACAAGACCAAGCTGGGTGGCAGATTTGTGATCGGCGTACAGAGGGAGAAAACCTCGAGTATGCAGATCGCTCTGAGGAGGAAGCTGTAAGTTTTACTGTACAAACTGTTGATTTCTCACCACCATAGTTTTAAATGTAATAACTCATCTGTCTTTTTTCCGTAGTGCTTGGAGCTGTACTTCAGACGAATCAGGCCTGAGAACATTCAGCCGGAGAAACTCTGCAATAGTTTCTTTGTTTCGTCATCCGGCGTGGAGGTTCAAAGTGTCTCTCGGGACATGAATCGGCTCCATAAATTGTAAGTGCCTTACACGGGTCCATGTGTGTGTGTGTGTGTGTGTGTGTGTGTGTGTGTGTGTGTGTGTGTGTGTGTGAACGGATACACTTCTTTGTATCTTGCCTCATCACAGTCACATCACAATTAATATTTCCTTTTTGTTTCTGCAGGTACAAGCTGGCTCCTTTCTCTGCTCAGTGTGTGCGGAGGGCTGTTGAGGAGGCTGCAGAAAAGCTCCCGGCGCAGCAACAGGAGGCGCTGCACCATTACCTGTCCATCAGCGCTGGTGCGGTCCGGCCGCAGGATGTCATCAACGCAGCTCTGCTGCTGGAATCATTAGTCAGGTATACATCTCTTCATCCAACCATGGCATTACTCATCACAAACAAAGTAACGTCATTCTGTCTTTCAGCACATTTCACAGTCCGCAAGCCTTCAGCCGCAAAGGTGGCACGGCTTATTGCACAGGAGGGGTGGAAGGTCAACTGTCCCAAGCCGGAGGACATCGAACGGCTGTGGACACCACCTTCGAAGGCAGCAGTTGAAGATGACAAGTTCATCCTTCGCTGTGTGTCTGAGCAGAACTGGTCGGGCATGGCCATAAAAGACTTTGGTGATGAGCGTGGTTTTGGTAAGAAAACCTTTCATTTGTCTTGTAAGGGCAGAAAAAAACAATAATGTAAAATGTACAATTTAGCAGCCAATAACTGCAGCAAGAACTACATTTACATTCTGAACTGTGTGTCTACATGTAATGTTTGTTCATTAATTAAAAAATGTAATGTGTTCTCATTATTTTAGGAGTCGTGGCAACTCAGACTTTTTCAAAGAACGACATTGTTTGCGACTGCCACGGCAAGGTCATCCCAGCTGCTCAAGGGAGGGCGATGGTGCAGGCCCAGCATGACGAGGCCGGGTACATGTTCTTCTTTAAAGCCGGACAGAGAGATCTCTGCGTCGACGCCCAGACCTTTCCGTGCGAGTGCCACCCTGGCAAAGACACCGTTGGGAGGAGGATAAACCACTCCACAAAAGCGCCCAACCTGAAGCCCTTTCACTGCAGGTTACGTGTGAATGGGGAGGACAAGGACGTCATCCTCTTCAGGGCACTGAAGGACATCAGTGTGGGCGTTGAACTACGGTTCGACTACGGGGTCAAAAGGAAGTCCTTCCGTGGAGAGGGCCTACACCTGGACTGGCTGGATGGTTGAGAAGGCCTTCATCAGGCTGGAGTGGCTGGACTTTTGATTCCTGTTTTAAGGACTAGATTTTGCTGGACTCTCACAGACCATTTGTGTTACATTTTATGACACAAGACTGGGAACTGTGTATGAACTATCAATGTTTTATTTGTCAACTGTGAGCTCGCGAATGAACTATAGATGATTGGACAAAATTGGGAGCTTGCATATGGACTTGATGTTCATGTAAATGGAGCCTCAATAGACTCTAAACATTGTAGTTTCATGTAAATGGAGCCTCAGTGTGACCAATGAAATAATTGACTTTGATCTACGTCCTGGAGCTGGAGTGGTTGGATCTCTGACAACTCTACCCAGGCATCCCAGGACAGTGTCTCCTTCCATCATCGGCTCCTCAGAGCTCCTTGAGGGATTCTGGAAACGAGCCAGAACCTGAGAACAATTTCCATAAAGTTACGCATCTCTTTAACCAAGCATTCACATATTGCATTAATATTATGAACATCAGCTATGCTAATTATTTCCCCTCTGCCTTTCTGCTGTTATCTCGGGACGCTTGTCCCGAGAAAATAGGAGTTTGTCAGCTCCAGTTTGTATCCAGCCTCTCACAGAGACTTCAGATGCCCCAACGCCTGTGATGAGAAGACCAACGCCTGTGAAGAGACGACTCAATGCTGGCGATATGTTATGCCCTTAATATTACATGATTATCTAAATGTATTTTTTTCCCTTTTAACTTTCCTTATATACACTTACTGTAAAGCTTCTATTAAAACAATATGAATGTAAGCCAGAGGAGAACTGGCCCCGACTGAGCCTGGGTTCTCCCTAGGTTTTTTTCTCCATCCAATCTGATGGAGTTTTGGTTCCTTGCCACTGTCGCCTTTTGGCTTGCTTAGTCGGGGATATTTGTTAATAAAATGTGCAAACAACATGCAGTGTATATAAATTCTTTTATATTGTTAATACTGTGTGACGTGTGTTTGACCATGTGATTAGTGTGTTTTTCTTGTGAAAACAGTTTCAAGTTAATAAAGTGTGCAAACAACATGCAGTGTGTCCTCACTTTCTCTGCTGTGCTAAAATGTCTGTATTTAACTCAAATCTCAAGCTTTCTTTCTTTCTTTCTTTTTTTTGCATCAAATTAAACAGTGAGTTCTGTACTTCTCAGTGCTGATAATCATTAAGCTTTAATTGGTCAGAGAAGTGAAGAGACGACCTCAAACTGTGCAGTGTATGTTATTTTCTGCCGGTAATTTCATGTTTCTCACACCAAAATGTCTTTTATTCAGCCAATTCATGAGATGGTGTCATGTATTTTACTTCAAAATAAAGCTGAGTATGTGTCCTTTCATAATCCAACACTTATTTGGCTTTATCATGTTCATAGAGTGAATGAGATCTCATCAGGTTAGCTGACCTACAATTTTGCAGTGGTGAAAATCTGGGAGCAGTTTACCTGTTTTCAACTTTGATTACTTTATTAAAATGAATGCATCTCAGTCAGTGTTTATGCTACAGACATGTTTTGCACATGTATTGAAAGATGTGTTTGCATTCAATTTTCTGCATCTTGTTCAGGGAGTTGATAATACAGACTAAAGTTGAGGTTGGCACCGTTGAATCCCAGGCCTTTGTCGTCACTGTCTCTGCTGTGCTAAAATGTCTGTATTTAACTCAGATTTATTTGTGCTACTCAATCTGTGTTTACAGCGTGTCCTTGGTAAGCATCTATTTACACTTTTTGTGCAAGTAGTTTGTGTCAAGTATGGGCAATTAGGGTAATATCATAGAACATGTCACCACAATGGTTAATGCTTCTCATGATTTGTTTTTGTAGAACATTTTGGTCAGCATCCATTGTCTGGGCCAGGCAAACAAAACAGACGAGGGTCCAAGGCAAAAAGGGTAATCCAAGAAAACAATGCTCAGCACCTGGATGGACAAGCAGGCAGGCTAATCGAATGGCAAGGTATTTATTTCTAGCACATCTCATACACAATAGTAATGCAAGGTGCTTTACATAAATTTTCTGGTAATGAATTAAAGTCATTTTAAAGGGGTGATGAACTGAGAAATCAAATTTTCCTTGAGCTTTTGACATCTAAGAGGTCATCATATTATAATAATATCCTGTAAGTTTCAGAACTGAAAACGTCCTTGTTAGTCCAATAAAAGCTTTTATTGACACAGCCTCTGAAAACGACTCGTTTTTCAAAGTGGGGAACTATGACATCAAAGAGGATAAAACACCACCCCCACAGAAGAAGATCAACGCCTACTTCAACACGTCAGGTTTAGCCACGCCCACGATTCACCCATTACACACATAGCTAAGTAACATACATGTACATGCTTACCTCGTGATGACAAACTGGATCGAGCTACCGAGCAATACAGAATATTGTGCTGTGCAAGACAGTCGCTGCATAAGCTTCCTCTGGATTCCAATAGGACTGCATGGATAAACTTTATTTTTAATGACGTTCCAGCTGATGAGGTAAAACATCGTCGTCTGTTCGCTTCATTTCACTGAGGATTGTTTTGTAAACAAAACTGGATTTGCAGACCGATTAAGAGTAAAGAACAGTGCTGTGCCGTCTATATTGGATCTGACAGGAATTGTGCAACACATGGACTCTGGGTCGAACATGTATGGGCGAATCCGGTTGCCATTTTACATTGGACGTTTTCCCCCATGTGCACCGAAGGGTGAGTTAAACTCATTATAATATGCAAAACTGTTCTCCACTCACAGCAGTGGTTTTTTATTTCCAAGTCTTCAGTGCGACACGCCCATAAAAACCGACCGTTTTTTAGGTAGGCTCACAACCTGGGTCCAAAATAGCCTATTACTTGTTCATTTTGACATTTCGAACGTTATAAGTTGACCTCAGACAACAATATAATACAATTTAAAAAGCCAGTTCATGACCCTTTTAACAGAAGATTCAAAGGAAATGTGGTTTGGTTCTCATTCATAAACTGTGTGTTGTGGTCACATGTTAATTTATTCTTGCAGATTTTAATGTGCAATGTATGAGGTCGGCTCGGTGTAACGTAACAAACGCTTCATGAGATGGGCTGGCTTTAACAAGCATGTCATTCTCTCTCTTTAAGGTTCATGAATAGGGTGACCACCCGTCCCGCGTAGCGCGTGCGCGCACAGCGTTTGAAGCCCAATTCATGAGTCCCGCAAATTGAGACCGTGTCACGCATAATCAATGCTTGCTCAAAAAAAAAAAAAGAAAAGTCGGTTAGTCTATATCCTCAAGACCCAGGCAGCCAAACTGAACAGGTTCACGTTCATGAACTCGTTCATATTTTGGGTGAACTGAACGTATTGTTTTACCGCCTGTCCTGATGAACGTTCATTCTGGTGTCTGTGAACGCACGCTCTCTCAGTTTAACTTCGTTCAATGGGGTGCCAGATTTCTATAGAGCCTTCCAGGCGAAAACCCAGCTAAAACTCACCGTAAGCAGGGCTTATGTAGCGAAAAAACACCCAATCTGGCAACACAAGCCACCAGTGTCGCACCGCGACCGCCGTCGACAAAGGCGTCGTATGATAATTTAAACGGATTTTATAACGAGGTTGGTGAAGATGGGAAAAATCTTACATTTCTGTGCAAACTTTGAACTGAACTAGTTCATTTTAAAATGTGTGAACTGAACTTTGAACTAGTTCAGAAAGTGAGAACTTCTCTGGTTGCCACTCCCACGTGACCTGCTGACTAGGTTGATGTCAACTTTTTCATTGTTGTCATGACAGCGCACCTTGTCGTTCCGTGAACCTCTGGAGTTGTGAGTTTAGACTTTTTTTCGACTTTTTTTAAAACTATTCCTGTGGTGTTGAGCAACTATAATTCCTGTTAATCCTATAATTTTATATTTTTATTTATTTAAAGTGAATTAATTGTAATGAAAAATAAATAAAATTAAATAGCTAAAGTAAATCGTAAGTGGAAGTGCATCTGTCAATTCATTGAATGTTCAAAATATTCATTTTATTTAGAAAAAAATACACATTGGTTGGCCTATTCATGAGTAAGTATATATCAGCAATTACACATGTTTAGGGAATAGGGGATTATTAATGTATGTGCTAAGGTATATGCTTTTTTTTTTTTTTTTTTAACAATTATTCATGTACAAACAGTAAGGCAATAGTAACAATTCTAGATATGGGAAAACCACTATCAGAGTCTGCCCGTGGGGTGGGGGCACCGCCGTGCCAAGCAGTGTCCCACCCAGCAAACAAGCTTCTTTGGGGCCCGAATGGGGCCCTTGCGGGCAGCCCACTGCGGGCCCAGATACCGGCGTGAAATGCGGGGCACGTGTGGGCCCCACACTTCGGGACCCAGGTGGGGCCCCAGTGGGACAGCCCACAAGTGTGGGCTGACTGTGGGCAGGCCCACAGTAAGTAGAGTGGACCCCATTGGGGCCAGTTGTGGGCCCACGGTAAACCCTTATAGGGGCCCATGTGGGGCCATTGCGGGCAGCCCACTGTGGGCCCAGATACCGGCGTGAAATGCGGGGCACGTGTGGGCCCCACACTTTGGGACCCAGGTGGGGCCCCAGTGGGACAGCCCACAAGTGTGGGCTGACTGTGGGCAGGCCCACAGTAAGTAGAGTGGACCCCATTGGGGCCAGTTGTGGGCCCACGACAAACCCTTATAGGGGCCCATGTGGGGCCATCGTGGGCAGCCCACTGTGGGAACAGATACCGGCGTGAAATGCGGGGCACGTGTGGGCCCCACACTTCGGGACCCAGGTGGGGCCCCAGTGGGACAGCCCAAAAGTGTGGGCTGACTATGGGCAGGCCCACGGTAAGTAGAGTGGGCCCCCATTGGGGCCAGTTGTGGGCCCACAGTGGGCTGCCTGCAATGGCCCCAAATGGGCCCCTATAAGGGTTTGCTGTGGGCCCACAACTGGCTCCAATCGGGGCCCACTCTACTTACCGTGGGCCAGCCCAAAGTGTGGGCTGACTTTGGGCTGGCCCACACAAATTATAGCAGGCTGGATGTGGGCACACTGTGGGTGCAGTTGCAAAGTTTGAGCACACAGAGTAGGTACACCCATATTACTATATGCAGTACAATTGGACTTATTAGCAGCAATAAATCGAGGGTCATGTTTTTTCCCCAAATAATTTATTTATATTTAATAATAATTATAATTAATGATAATACAGTTTAAAACAGCAATAACCACAGAAAACAGGGGATTGAAAATTAAAAATCAATCCTCAGGGGCAACAGTATTTCTGCAGTTCTGGCCCTTCCTTGCCTTCCCCCATCTCTGTCCCAGGGATTACGGAGCCATGTCTTCATATTGGCTTCCACATCACATGCAGTGGCTTGACTGCTTTTTGTCACAGCATCTAAGTGAGAAAGGAACAATTGAAATACAAATGTTAAAAACAAAATAAGGGTTGTACTGTTGAACCATTTCAACCTAAGAAAGTTTTCAACCTGCACTTTGAATGAGGAAACGTCTTCTGATTGTTCCAGGTGCTAT